CCAGTGGATTCTCTCTCTCTCTCTCTCTCTCTCTCTCTCTGTCTCTCTCTCTCCCCCTGTCTTTCAAATAATTTTTTTAAAAAGTCTTTAAAACTTTTATTTAAAAGAATGCCACAGGCTGAGAGTCAACAGTGGAAAACAGTAATGGTGTCTAATCTAACAGTAGAGGAGTAGAGCAAATGTACTGTTCTGTGCAGGGAAAGTAAGGGTGCCATGGAAGCACCACAGGATAGAATTTACTGTTGGGAGGGAGGGGTAGTGAGAGATGTTCTGGAGGCAGTGATATTCATGCTGTGCCCTGAGGGAGAAGTAGGGAAGCACAAGCTAGGCCTGTCCTCTGGGTGGAGCGTTAACCAGCGCCACGTGTGTCTGGTTTGCCACGCTATCCACTAGAACATAGCCTAAGACAGTTTATACTTAAGACATATTTTTCTTTTGTATTTAAGTTTTTTATAAAAGATTTTATTTATTTATTTGAGAGGTAGAGTTACAGACAGTGAGAGGAAGAGACAGAAAGGTCTTCTGTCTGTTGGTTCACTCAAATGGCCACAACAGCCAGAGCTGTGCCGATCAAAAGCCAGGAGCCAGATGCTTCTTCTGGGTCTCCCATGTGGGTGCAGGGGCCCAAGGACTTGGTCACCTTCTACTGCTTTCCCAGGCTACAGCAGAGAGCTGGATTGGAAGAGGAGCAACCGGGACTAGAACCGGAGCCCATATGGGCTGCTTGTGCCGCAGGTGGAGGATTAACCAAGTGAACCACAGCGCCGGCCTCTGTATTTAAGTTTAAAAGGATGTTCACTGGTGGGGCTTGAAGGATGAAAGCTGGGCATCTCAAGCAAGCAATACGCAAGAGAGCTATGATCAACCTGGTGGGACCCCTGGGGAGCTTGAAGGAGCACTGTCCAGTGTGAACCTCAGGAAGAAGGAGCAATGTCTATTCAACACGTGAAAGATGGAGGGACAGCCAGAGATTATTCAGTAGGCAGGTGAGTGGGTAAGAGCTAAAAGAGCTCTAATGTTGTCTCCTTTGTTTCTAAGGTAAGAAATGAATGGATGAGAGAGAGGCAGTAGGATCCGAGACGTGAGGAGTGTGGGGAAGATCTGTGAAGAATGAGCATGTGAATTGCAGGGAGGAGCAAAGGAATTCTGGGCAGTGTTAAGGGCTGTAAAGTAAGAATTAGAGGAGGCTGCTGTTTTGGACTAAACTCTTGCACTGGGACCCAACAGGCCAGGCTAAAAACCAAAATGGAGTTGTTCATGCTAAAGTACCATGTCACCAAGCAGAAACTAAGTGGTTTATCTCACCTTCCAGCAATGACGAATAGGCCAGTTTCAACTGGCACGATAATGAAGTTTCCTCTGCTTTAATCTTTACACTAAAAAAAGTCACCTGAAATGGCCTGATGATCAGGAACCAGTTATTTTCCTATGGTCTATTTCCTTGTCCCTGTCTTCAAAGTAAAGTAACTTTGAAATGACTAATCTGTTTTCTGTTCTTTTGTTTCTGCTTTTATCATTCTTTATCTATAAAACCAACCTCTTTTTGCTTAGCCCATCAGAATAGATATTCTATTTGCTAGAATGGAAAATAGGGACTGGTGTTGTGGCATAGGAGGTTAAACTCCTGCATATGGGCGCATCCCATATGGAGACTGGTTTGTGTCCTGGCCACTCCACTTCCAATCCAGCTCCCTGCTAATAGCCTGGGAAAAGCAGCAGAGGATGGCCCAAGAGTTTAGGCCCCTGCTACCCATATGGGAGACCTGGATGAAGCTCCTGGCTCCTGGCTTCTCAGCCCTGGCTGTCGTGGTCATTTGGGGAATGAACCAGCAGATGGAAGATCTCTTTCTCTATATGTAACTCTGACTTTTAAATAACTAAGTAAATAAATCTTAGACTGGAAAATAAAGCCAAATAAGATTGTTAAACTAAATTGTTACAATTTTGCCTTTCAACAGGGCCCAAGGGAGATTTGAGACCATGTATTGATAATGGTGCCAACCACACAGATCTGCACAGTATGAATTTTCTCTCCAGGCATGTACAGCAGCTCAGGTACAGGTATAGATAATAAGAACTGTTGGGATTTTTTTTAGACTGGTATAACAGGACAGACAGTTCAACTACTGAATTCAAAATATTGGTCAATGGTGTTTGATATGGTAAACCACAAAGTATATCATTAGAATTAGGGAAGAGGGTGTGCTTTTCAGCAAAAGCAGTCTGTGCAGGAGACAGTACCTCTTAGCATTTTCCTGCGGGGTGGGAGAGGAAAAGAATGAGGCAGACCCAAGCAGAGAACTGAATAGATAGTCCTTGAAGGTGTCTGCAGACTGGCCTGAGCGAGTGGGGAGGGGCCACAAAACCCTCATCCAGGGGAGGGACCAGGGACCCACCCAAGACCACCCACTTTGCAGCTTAACTTGTGATAAAATATCCTGATAAAATGGGAATTCAGCCAAACTAGAAAAATCCAGGCTATAGCCACATGCGCTGAGAGCCCATGAGTAGGCCACGCCCAGATATCAATCATAAATGTCAATCATGAGCATCATGGTCACATATTAGTCAACGCCCCTCATACTGTAGGGATAAAATCCCCAAACCAGAAAGAAACTGTGCCATGTGCTCTCTCAACTGGACTGTTGCTCCCTTGGAACATACTTCAGTTAATTTTGCTATCCTTACTTCCATCTCTGAACTGTAATTCATTATTCTGTTGGCAAAAAGGAACCGAGGAAAGCCTGCTGCCCCTAGTGACAAAGGGACAGAGTAAGGGAAGGGAGAAAGGGAGAGGTAGAGGGAGGGAGAGAAGGAAAAGGGAAGTAGAGAGAGAGATTGAGAGAGAGAGACAGAGCTAAGAGATGTTTATCTGGTTTGCCATGGCTTTCTCTTCCTGGTTTCCAACACATGGACTCAAAAGATTCTCCAGTATTCTTGCAGTGAATTTTCTGTTTTGGCTGAAGGGAGTTGGAGGAGTCTCTATTTCCAAACAGTCTTAAGTAAAAAGTAAAGGAAAAAATTGTGAATCATGCTCAATTTAGTTAGAAAAGCCAAAGGATGGAGGGGGAAGAGATAAGGGAAGTTAATCAGTTAAAGGCTCCTGGCCACAGCCAGCGAGAGATTGTTTCACATTCCTGAATGTAAATTAAAGCCTTGACTTAAAACCCCAGGTGGCCAAGCCTCAGGCAGTCCAGAAGCTACAAGTACTTTTGCTTGTAAGAACTTTCTTTGGATCCCCCAACTTTCCCGGCTTTGTGTTGCCCTGCCCCTCTTATCTATAGCCAATCTAAGTTCAGTGTAAACAATTTAGGTTTTACTTCTCCCAGCTTTCATTGTAAAAATGCTCTTGGCTCTTTGGTCAGGCGGATACTCTTCCAGCTGTTATTTAACCTCTCGCTGGTAGTTGCAGAACTTGTCCCAGGGCTGGTCCTTTTCTGGCTAGCATCTGTAATGGCTCAACAATCCCTTTAATTTCAGAGAACTCTCAGTCTCCAGAATTTTGGTTTAATTTAAGAAGGTAAAATGTAATACAGACATGCTACTTCTCATATCATGTTTGGTTTGTCTCGTTTTGGAAAATAAGGATGATATAGAGCCAAAGTTGATCAATTTTTTCAAGTGTTAGGCATTTCCGTCAAAGCCATCTGACAGTCCTATTGCATAAGGCTCACAATCCTGCCTCATGACTGTGGGGCTTCTGGGGCTTGGAATCACTGCTTTGGTTTGGGATGTGGTTCCTCTTGTCTCTGTATTGGAGGCTTAGTCCTCAATGTGAGGATGTTGGGAGGTGAGGTCTTTAAGAGGCAGGGCCTAGTGGGGGGTTCCTTAGGTAGTCCTTGAGAAGGGATTAAAGTAGTTCTCACACACAAAGTAATGTTCTACACATATTAAGGTGGTTATGACAGCTTGAGCCCTGGCCTCACCCACTTCTCTGACTTAACTATTCTACCTGCTCCTGCCATTGCCATCAGCCTTCAGGAGGTGCAGAACGAGGTAAGGCCTTTGCAAGGCTTTCAGCCCCTAAAGCTGTGAGCTAAATGAACCCCTTTTCTTTATAAAGTTAGGTTGCCTCAGGGATTTCATTTTAGGAAGGTAAAACTAATACAGTCACTAATAGGTTCCTACCTCCTTACTTCCCCAACCCTGTTCAAAGGCATCTAAGACTGGATGTAGGAGGGCTACTCCCTTGATTGCCTGAGGTTCTTGTCCTAGGAAAATGGGAACTGCAGCCCCCAGTTCTTAGCAGTCTCCAAGATCCTGTTGCACAATGAGTCAGGTCACCATTTCTCAGTCATCATTCTCTTTCCAGGCAGTACCAGATACCTGGGTTATCACAGTATTACTACCCTTATGCTTGGGTCCCCAAAACCAGTAGATAAAGAGTTGTCAAAACATCTACCTGTTTTGCCTCCTTTATATTGAAAGTATTAAATGCAATGTGGGGCTTTGAGGCTGCCCATTTCTGGACTGACTGATACATGGCATTTGGTTTTAGTTTCCCACAACACTAATACACCATCAACTTTCATTCTCTCCTTAGTTCCTTCTTTCAATTTATTTTTTTAAAGATTTATTTATTTGAGGCCAGCGCCACGGCTCAATAGGCTAATCCTCCACCTAGCGGCGCCGGCACACCGGGTTCTAGTCCCAGTTGGGGCGCCGGATTCTGTCCCAGTTGCCCCTCTTCCAGGCCAGCTCTCTGCTGTGGCCCGGGAAGGCAGTGGAGGATGGCCCAAGTGCTTGGGCTCTGCACCCCATGGGAGACCAGGATAAGTACCTGGCTCCTGCCATCGGATCAGCGTGGTGCGCCAACAGTGGCGGCCATTGGAGGGTGAACCAACGGCAAAGGAAGACCTTTCTCTCTGTCTCTCTCTCTCTCACTGTCCACTCTGCCTGTCAAAAAAACAAACAAAACAAAACAAACAAACAAACAAAAACAACAACAAAAAACAAACAAACAAAAAACCAGATTTATTTATTTGAAAGCCAGAGTTACACAGAGTGAGGAGAGGCAGAGAGAGAGAGAGAGAGAGAGAGGTCTTCCATTTGCTAGTTCACTTCCTAGTTGGCTGCAATGGCCAGAGCTGTGCTGATCTGAAGCAGGAAACAGGAGCCTCTTCCGGGTCTCCCACACAGGTGCAGGGGCCCAAGGACTAGGGCCATCTTCTACTGCTTTCCCAGGCCATAGCAGAGAGCTGGATCAGAAGAGGAGCAGCCAGGACTAGAACCGGCACCTGTTAGGTAGGAAGTCAGAAATGAGCTTATGTGTGTGTGACAAAGGCCTAAGGAATTGACATTCAGGTCCAGCATCTGCATCTCAAAGTCATCCCGATAACCTTCCAGGTGCAGCCCAGTATCTGCACTTCAAAGTCCTGCCCCTTCTACCTGATAACCATCCTTCCCCTAAGGCAGGGTGACGCCAGCCAGGCTTCCCCTGTCTGGACTATGCGCAGCCCTCTGCCTCTCTGCTGAGCTGCCTGCCTGGCCTGCACAGATGTATTCTCTCCACTCAACCATGTAACCTCACTCTCCCCCAGTCTGAGCGACTGGGCACTCTCTCTCACATTCTGTCTGGAGAGGTGCCTATCCGTTCTTATGGATGTCCCTTCCCTAATAAACTTTGCTATTTTGCTTTCCACTTACTCTCTGTCTCACACCTGAATTCTTTCTTGTGCGAAGACAAGAACCCTGCCTTCTCTGGTAACAGAGCCCATATGGGATGCCATATGGGGGCCGGCACTGGAGGCGGCGGCTTTACCCGCTACACCACAACACCGGCCCCCCTGTAAGGTCGCCACAAAACACACCAAACGCTGGAGTAAGGGAAAGAGTTTATTGGGGGAAACCTGACAGACTGGAGGGAAGGGGCAAAGAAGGAGAAGAGGGAGGAGAGCATAAGAGAGAGGAAGAGACAGAGGTCAGAAGACAGAGTTACGGGGCTGGCACATGGCTCACTTGGTTAATCCTCTGCCTGCAGCGCTGGCATCCCATGTGGGCGCTGGGTTCTAGTCCCAGTTGCTCCTCTTCCAGTCCAGCTCTCTGCTGTGGCCCAGGAAGGCAGTGGAGGATGGCCCAAGTGCTTGGGCCCCTGCACCCACGTGGGAGCCAGGAGGAAGCACCTGGCACCTGGCTCCTGGCTTCAGATCGGCGCAGTTCCAGCCGTGGCAGCCATTTGGGGAGTGAACCAACGGAAGAAAGACCTCTCTCTCTCTCTCTCTCTCTCTCTCTCTCTCTCTCTCTCATTGTCTGTCAGAGAGAAAAGAGAGAGAGAGTCACCTGTTCAGAAACAGGTCCTTTTAAAATTTTGCCAGGGGGCGGGCAGGGAAGTAGGAGCAGTGAATCCCTTTAGGATGGGAGTGGAGCTTGACACCGGTGGCTGGGCCTTGTGGCCACCTGGTTTCCAGCAATGGTGGCGGGGGGCTAGAGCCTAGGATGGTGTCAGGGTGTAGATCGCACCTTAGATAAGACTGCACCATTTTACTAACATCCCCTTCCTTCAGTTTAATAAACGGCTCTCAAAGCAGATCCTGTTGATACGGGTAGGCAGATAGCTAGTGAGTGGCAAGGAGCTAAGCATTGCCACCACCAAAGCTGCCTTCACTGCCCAAATCCCATCACCTTCTGTGCTGATTCATTTAAAGACTGGAATACCCACTCATGTACCTAAGCTTCACTCTCTATCATGTACCAGATGTGACACCTTCCTGAAAACCATCACATGTGCTGCAGCCCCACCTGAAACTCTGCCTCCTTTGAACATTCAATCAGACCCTGCCTTGAGTACCACCCCTCATCTATAAACAGAATGACCCCAGCCTGGGTGGGGACAATGTTTTCTCATGTAGTTGACACACTCACACCTGAGTATGTATTATCCCTTTGCTTTTCAATAAATCCTGCTTTTCTTCTCACCTGTCTCTGCCTTTTAGTTGTATTCCCACATGCAAGAAGACAAGAACCTGGACTAAGTCTAGCTAGGATCTCTCTGAACCCAGCCAGGGCTCATAATCCCCACAATATAATCCTGGGGTCTCAATTACCATAACAATAATGGATGAGTCCTTGGGATTGTCATTGTGGTATAGTGGGTAAAGTTATCACCTGCAATGTTTCGTGTCCTGGCTGCTCAGTATCCTATCCATCTCCCTGCTAATGGCCTGGGAAAAGTAGCAAAAGATGGCTCAAATGTTTGTGCTCCTGCCACCCACATGTGAGACCCATAAGAAGCTCCTGGCTCCTGACTTTGCCTTGACCCAACTCTGGTTGTTGCAGCCATTAGGGGAGTAATCCAGCAAGTGGAAGATATCTCTCTCTCCCTCTTGCTCCATAATTCTGCCTCTCAAATAAATAAATAAAATTTTTTTTTAAACAGGCACAGTTAGACAGTGAGAGAGAGAGACAGAGAGAAAGGTCTTCCTTTTGCCGTTGGTTCACCCCTCAAATGGCCGGTACGGCTGGCGCGCTGCGCTGATCAGAAGCCAGGAGCCAGGTGCTTCCTCCTGGTCTCCCATGCGGGTGCAGGGCCCAAGCACTTGGGCCATCTTCCACTGCCTTCCTGGGCCACAGCAGAGAGCTGGACTGGAAGAGGAGCAACCAGGACAGAATCCGGCACCCCAACTGGGACTAGAATCCGGGGTGCTGGCGCCGCAGGTGGAGGATTAGCCTAGTGAGCCGTGGCGACTGCCAATAAATAAATCTTTAAAAAAAAAGAGAGATGTATTTATTTATTTTAAAGTCAGTTATAGACAGAGAGGGAGAGAGAGAGATCTTCCATCCACTGGTTCACTCCCCAGATGGCTGCAAAGGCTGGAGCTGGGCTGAACTGAAGCCAGGAACCAGGAGCTTCTTCGGATCTCCCACTTGGGTGCAGGGGCACAATGATTTGGGCCATCTTCCACTGCTTCCCCTGGCCATCAGCAGGGAGCTGGATTGGAAGTGGATCAGCCAGGACTTGAAATCGTGCCTATATGAGATGCCAGCTCCACAGGCAGAGGCTTAACCTAAACTACAGTGCTGGCTCCATAGACAAATTTTTTTTTAAGATTTTTATTTTTTTATTTGAGAGGTAGAGTTATAGACAGAGAGAAAGACAGAGAGAAAGGTTTTCCATCCTCTGATTCACTCCCCAAAAGGCCACAACAGCCAGAGCTGGGCTGATCTGAGGCCAGGAACCAGGAGCTTCTTCCAGGTCTCCCAGGTGGGAGCAGGGGCCCAAGCACGTGGGCCATCTTCCACTGCTTTCCCAGGCCATAAGCAGAAAGCTGGATGGGAAGAGGAGCTGCTGGGACATGAACCTGCACCCATATGGGATGTTGGCACTGCAGGCAGAGGCTTAGCCTACTTTGCCACAGCACCAGCCCCCATAGATAAATATTACAAAAAATATGAATTAGTCCTTTAATGCAGAATAAACTGTAATGTTACTAATGTAAATCCCATCAAGGGGCTGGTGCTGTGGCATAGTGGTAAAGCTGCTGCCTGCAGTGCCAGCATCCCATATATGATGCTGCTCCACTTCCAATCCAGCTCTCTGCTATGGCCTGGGAAAGCAGTAGAAGTTGGCCCAAGTCCTTGGGTCCCTGCACCCGTGTGGGAGACCCAGAAGAAGCTCCTGGCTCCTGGCCCCAGATTGGCCCAGCTCTGGCTGTTGCAGCCATTAGGGGAGTGAATCAGAGGACAGAAGATCCCTCTCTCTCTTTGTATCTCTCTCTCTGCCTCTGCCTTTCTGTAACTCTGAATTTAAAATAAATAAAATCTTTTAAAAAATCAAGTCCATAAAGTGAACATATTATACTTAACTTCACCATTCTCATATTGCTGGATATTTAACTTCTTTTTTTAACACAAGGGTTCTTCAAAAGATTTGTGAGGATGAGTGTTTGGCCTAATGTTTAAGATACCTGTATCCCATATGGCAGTACTTGGGTTTGAGTCCCAAATCCAGCTGCTGCTGCTGCTGCTGCTGCTGCTGCTGCTTCTTCTTCTTTTAAGATTTATTTTATTTATTTGAAAGACGGAGTAAGAGTCTTCCATCTGCTGGTTCACGCCCCAGATGGCCACACCAGCCACATATGTGCAGGGGCCCAAGCACTTGAGACATCTTCTGCTGTTTTCCCAGGTGCTTTAGCAAGAAGTTGGATTAAAAGTGGAGCAGAGCCGGCACCAGGGCTCACTAGGTTAATCCTCCGCCTTGCGGCGCCGGCACACTGGGTTCTAGCCCCTGTCGGGGCACCGGATTCTGTCCCGGTTGCCCCTCTTCCAGGCCAGCTCTCTGCTGTGGCCCGGGAAGGCAGTGGAGGATGGCCCAAGTGCTTGGGCCCTGCACCCCATGGGAGACCAGGAGAAGTACCTGGCTCCTGCCATTGGATCAGCGCGCCAGCCACGGCGGCCATTGGAGTGTGAACCAATGGCAAAGGAAGACCTTTCTCTCTGTCTCTCTCTTTCACTGTCCACTCTGACTGTTAAAAAAAAAAAAAAAGTGGAGCAGCGCACTTGAACCAGCACACACATAGGATGCTGACGTCATAGGCGGTAGCTTTACCTGCTACACCACAAACCCTGGGAAGTGATGAGTCATAGTTCAGGTACTTGAGTCCCTGCTACCCACATGGGGATTCTGGATTGAGTTTCCAGTTCTTGACTTTAGCCTGGCCCTGTCACAAACGCTGTAGGCATTTGAGAGTGAACCAGTGAATGTGAACTCTGTCTATTTGTACACCTATTTGTACACCTCTCTCTCTCAATGCCTCTCACATAATAAAATTAGGGGTACGTGTTGGTGTAGTAGATAAAATTGCTACTTTGGATGTCCTCCTCTCATTTCATTCCTTCTACTATCTCTGTTTTTTCTGAATTTATTCTAGGCTCCTCTGTTTCTGATCCGGCTTCTTGTTAATGTACCTGGGAAGGCAGCAGATAATGGACCAAGTACTTGGGTCCCTGCCATCCATGTGGGAAACCCAGATGGAGTTCTGAGCTCCTGGCTTTGGCCTAACCAGTCTTTGCTATTGTGACCAATTGGGGGAATGAATCAGTGTGTGGAAGATCTGTCTTTCTCTCTCTCTCTTCTTTCTCTACCACTCTGCCTTTCAAATAAATGAATAAACTAAAAATTTGTGGAAAATGGGATTAAAAGATGTTTGTTTTAGTATACAAGTGTTTTGAAATCCATGCATATAAGAATTCTTCAAAAGACTTATGAAAATGCATATTGTGAAAAAATTATACATAAGTT